AGGCCGCTGTGGTAAGAGCTCAGCTCACAGAAAAAGAGGCACTTGGCCAGTCTGAACCCTGTCTTAGCCTGTGTTTCTCTCTGCTAACCGAAGGGCTCCTGAGGCTGTGTCCAGGTGACTGGGAACCCAGCTCTCTTTGGAAAGGCTGCCTGGAGCTGCTGCAGGTAGTGCCCAAAGATCCCTGAGGGGCTGGAAGTTTCTGAACAGGGCTCTGCTTGAGTTGGCCTGGCTGGGTAGAGCTCATGGTGAGAAGCAGGAGTGCTGGAGCATGGAGGCTCAGTGTTGGAGGCGTTGAGGGTGCACGGCCAACCCTTGTGGAAAAGGGTGGCCCTTTGGGGTCTGGCACGTTGACGGGGTGCTCTCAGGAAAGGCCACAGCATAGCACAGTCAATCCGGTGGATCCGTGACACCATGTGAGGCTCCCATTCGGGAGGATAGAGCTCTTCAACAAAGGAAGTGACCCAGTGCTCACTTCGATGACTTCAGAGCCACCTTGAGAATCTACACACCAACCCCTTACAGCAGGGGTGGGCAAACCTTTTTGGCCCGAGGGCTCATCGGGGTGCGAAACTTCTGGAGGGCTGGGTAGGGAAGGCTGTGACCCCCAAACAGCCTGGCCCCCGCCCCCTCCTCCCACTTCCCGCCCCCTGACTGCCCCCCTCAGAACCTCCCACCCATCCAAACCCCGCCCCGCTCCTTGTCCCCTGACCGCCCCCTCCCGAGACCCCCCACCCCTAACCACCCCCGGGACCTCACCTCCTATCCAACTCCCCCTGTCACCTGATTGCCCCGACCCCATCCACACCCCCACCCACTGACAGGGCCCCCGGGACCCCACCCCCTATCCAATCCTCCCTGTTCCCCATCCCCTGCCCCTGCCGCCCCGAACCTCTGCCCTATCCAACTGCCCCCTGCTACCTGTCCCCTGACTGCCCCCCAGGACCCCCTGCCCCATATCCAACCCCCCTGCCCCGACCCTCTTACCAGGCCACTCAGAGCAGCATGTCTGCAGACGCGCCGCCCCACATGAGCGCACAGCCCTGCCAGCCAGAGCACTGCCCATGCGGCAGCGTAGCTGCGGGGGAGGGAGGACAGTGGGGGAGGGGCCGGGGGCTAGCCTCCCGGGCCAGGAGCTCAGGGGCCGGGCAGGATGGTCCTGCGGGCCGTAGTTTGCCCACCTCTGCCCTACAGAAAACCCCAACTGAGGCAGCAGGCTCCCCTCTTCTCCCAGGGCAGGCAGCCACGGTACCCGTTGTAAAAACTATTGTGATATCCTCTGTCACCCACCCTTCCCCACTGCAGACTTGATGGGAGTGTTTGGCTCCAGTGCAGGTCCCATCAGGAGCCAGTCTTTGGGGGCTGCCTTGCCCGTTCCGTTGAGCGTGGGACGATCTCACCTCAGACAACGGATGCTGAACGTAGTCTCTGGAAGACGAAAGGGGGCTTTTGTTTCATGCATGGCCAGAGGAGACTGAACTGCTTCAGGACAGCAACACTTCCCTCCATGGTTCCACCTCTGCAGCCCAGGGCTGGTGCATGGCTCCTGGCTTCAAGACACGGCCACCCAGCTGGCCCACAGGAAGACCCAGATGTTCGTGGGGGATCAAAGCGTTACCATTCAGGCTCCCTGCGGCCCTGAGAGTCTCCAGGAAATGCCTCACGCTGGTCGCGGCTCCCCTGAGAAGTCAGGGCACTTACGGACTTGCTGCTCGGAGGCAAGTCGCAGCAGGCGGAAGTAGTAGGCTTGGAACGTGCTCTGTCCCTGTCCCCCCCACTGGTGAACTATTACTAATAACTGTTAGGGGCTTCCCCTCCGCTCCCCCGCCCCTTGTCCCACAGACAGAAGACAGAAGACCAGGAGTCCGAAGTGCAGGCAATGCCATGTTAATTGGGGTTGATCAAGCAAGCATATCCAGAGCTCTGCACACTGGGAGAGCCTTTTTCCCTTCCCTCCTTCTTCTTAGCAGGCCCAAATTGACCTGTAGTGCCCGGTCCTAGTCCCACCCCTTACAACTTATGATCATATTCTGTCTTGGGGGGCCTTGAGTCTGGGGGCTTCAGTACCACCTCTTGGGAAGGGTAGGGAGTGAAGTTGTGTTTTGGGCAGGGTCACTATTTCTTTGGCTTTTAGTGTTTCTTATGCCCCCCGCACGCACACAATTCCCCTTGCCCCTCCTGACCAGTTGCTTAACCTTGGCTTGGGAGAGGAGTCGGGCAGCCTTCAAGTGTATGCTCCTACATTAAACTCCCACCATACCCAGCAACACTTTACCTCTCTTCCTTGTCTTTTCACATTGTGCAATAAACCCCATCGATAGCGGGCAGATGCAACACACAGCGTCTTTGTTCACACATGTTAGTTAGAATATCAAAGATCAAACCCCAAATTCTCTCTCAGGCTAACAAAGAGGCCTTGATCCTAACAGTAATGTCTCACCCTCCTGGGCACAGCGTTCACGGGAGCCTTGTCGACGCCAGCCAGAAAAGTCATGCATGACCAAGGGTGGGCTCCAGCACGGCAGGGACTCACTCTTCATGGCTGGGGCCAGGACAGCCATGGCTGGCAGCGCTAGCTCGCATGTTAGCATGCATGCTCAGGAAGTCTCGTGCCAGACGCCAGCTGCGGTCCCTCTGAGTCTGGATCAGGTCAGTCTCGTCTCTACTGAGCCTTCAGATAGCAGGGACGTGTCTGCCCCAGCATGTCGCGGCAGAGCTGCCGGTGCTTGGGCCCCACACACACTTGGAAAGGGTTGCCCTTTCCATCCCCTCACCGATGAAGACACTGATCACGAATGTCTCAGGCTGGGGCCTCACTTGGGTCACTTACAGATTCACGGGACTTGGTCCCCGGCTGGCATGGAGGGAATGTCTTGGAGCTCAGGCCGGTGTGACATTCCTCCCTGTCCACTGGAATTCAGCCCTGCAGAGCTTCCTGCATGACACACCCAGCATCGAAAAGGGGAGGCCTGCTCCTCACACGTCCGGAGGCCGTCAGGGTCTGGACTCGACGCCATCCAAACAAGGTGACGCCGCTGGCCCTACCATCCCCCATGGCAGCCAGCAAGAACCCAGAGGGTTTCGTGAGCAGTCTGTGAGCAGCCCCTTCGCCACCACGGACGATGCTGACGCTCAGAACTTTGGCTCCCAAGAAGGACTGAGCCCAGGATTGTCCCCAGAGCTCGTCCTCCTGCAGTGGAACAGCCTGCTGCACCCTGTTCCACCTGGTCCCCGATTCCCATGGTGATCTCCCACAGTCCGTCTCATTGCCCTGTCGGGCAAGACAGCTGTGGCTCACAGCCCTGTGACAAATGTCTGTCAAGCCGCCGATCCAGCTCCTGGACCTGATCTCGCAGCACTGTGGCCAGCTGCTGCATCCAGACCTGTGGTCGCTGCACCTGATATTGGCTGTGGGCTGACTCAGTGCTGCGGGTAGGCACTGTTCCCTCTGGGCCTAGGAAATCCTGATCGAATGCAGGAAAATATCTGCCAGACCGATGGACTCATCTAAGTGGAAGGTGGTCTCAATGTGGCAGCCCAGCCCAATTTGTTCTGAGCCCAAGTTTCAGTACCAAAGATCCTGGACTCCCTGTTACACTGGAAGCAGGCTGGCCTTCACTTCGCTCTGTTAACGCGCCCCTCGCAGCATTTCAGCTTGCCCATCTGTGCGGTTGTGCCTGGTCTTTTCACACACCCCTCTCCCCAGTATCGAGATTTCCAAGGGACTCCTGCGTTGATCAGAGAACCTGCCTCTGTCTGGGACCTCCATTCAGTCCTCCTGAGAGTCGTGGTACCTCCGTTCGAGCCGCTCTCAGGACGTTCCCTGCACCACCTCACTCTGAAGTTGGTCTTGCTAGTGGCTGTGACTTCAGGGACATATTGTCGAGCCTCCCTGTGGGCAAGGTGTGCTGAGCCCTTAGCTGATGTTCACAGCTGAGTTGGTCTCAGATTTCCATCTGAATGAGCCAGTCCACTGCCAGACTTCCTCCCCCTGCCGCACTCGGTGCCAGGAGAAAAGAAACCACACGCGTGATGCTTTGCTTTGTTGTATTGACCAAACCATTCCGACTCCCCCATCCATTTATTGCCAGAGCACTGGACCAAGCCATCTCTTCACGAAGAATATCGAAGTGGATCACAGGCTGTCCCTGGCTGCGTTACCAGCTGGCTGGTGCGCCTCCCCACCGAACACGCTGGCGCTCTCCTTCAGAGCCCAGGCAGCTCTTCCGTCTGCTTCAGACACGCGCCAGGATCAGGGACCTGCATGTAACCCGCGGACCTTGCCAAACCCTATGCCCGGTCTGAGCCAGGTCCTCTAGTCCTGGCCAGCTGGAGCCCTTCATTCCCCCGCCGTGAGGGGCACTGCTTGACAGTCACCAGCAGCGGGCTCCATGCTGGCCTGTGCTCGGAGAGACCGGTTACTTACTGGGCCGGAGCTGGGGTGCTTCGCGATGATGCAGTCCGTGTGGATCCCATGACCCACCCTCTGTCCCTGCTTTCAGAGCCCTTAGCTACCAGGGGCTTCGAGCTGCGAGGGACCGTCACAGCCGCCCTGCCCCCCTCCCGTGGCACGGGAGCAGGAAGGGGGCTGGGGTGCATGTGTAGCCCTGAGGCACATGGCTATTAAAACGTTACATCCCATGTGCACGAGGCGCCTGGCTACGTCCAGAGGGACCGGCACTGCCTACACCCAGCATCTCGCAGAACCACCGCCCCAGCAGGGGTGTAACAGCTCGCAGGGTGCTCTCTGCCCCAGCGCTACAGGGGATGAGACTCCCATTGCCGGTGGATTTCCTGCTGCTGGCTGATCACAGATGAATGAAGAGACGGGGGACTCAAGTTCAAGAGTATCCTGCCTCTGTCTCCCTCTGCCTATATCCACCCCTCAACCTGGCGTGTCCCCCCTCCTGCCTTGGCTCCCGCCTCCTCCGCACCCTGTCCCCCATTTCACACAGCTCTGCATTTGAGTCAACAACTTCCTCTTTCTCCTGCTGCCCGGAGCCGGGCAGGGGACTCGGCAGGGAACATTCCCCCCTGCAGTCAGGTCTGGCCCCGATGCAGAGCTACGGGCGCTGTGCTGCAGGGAGCCGGGCAGGGAACTCGCCAGGGAACATTCCCCCCTGCCGTCAGGTCTGGCCCCGATGCAGAGCTACGGGCGCTGTGCTGCAGGGAGCCGGGCAGGGGACTCGCCAGGGAACGTTCCCCCCTGCAGTCAGGTCTGGCCCCGATGCAGAGCTACGGGTGCTGTGCTGCAGGGAGCCGGGCAGGGGACTCGCCAGGGAACACTCCCCCCTGCCGTCAGGTCTGGCCCCAATGCAGAGCTACGGGCGCTGTGCTGCAGGGAGCCGGGCAGGGGACTCGCCAGGGAACATTCCCCCCTGCCGTCAGGTCTGGCCCCAATGCAGAGCTACGGGCGCCGTGCTGCAGGGAGCCGGGCAGGGGACTCGCCAGGGAACACTCCCCCCTGCCGTCTGGTCTGGCCCCGATGCAGAGCTACGGGTGCTGTGCTGCAGGGAGCCGGGCAGGGGACTCGCCAGGGAACACTCCCCCCTGCCGTCAGGTCTGGCCCCGATGCAGAGCTACGGGTGCTGTGCTGCAGGGAGCCGGGCAGGGGACTCGGCAGGGAACATTCCCCCCTGCCGTCAGGTCTGGCCCCGATGCAGAGCTACGGGCGCTGTGCTGCAGGGAGCCGGGCAGGGGACTCGGCAGGGAACATTCCCCCCTGCCGTCAGCGCTGGCCCCGATGCAGAGCTACGGGCACTGTGCTGCAGGGAGCCAGGCAGGGGACTCGGCAGGGAACATTCCCCCCTGCAGTTAGCGCTGGCCCCAGTGCAGAGCTACGGGCGCTGTGCTGCAGGGAAACGGGCAGGGGACTCGGCAGGGAACGTTCCCCCCTGCAGTCAGCGCTGGCCCCAATGCAGAGCTACGGGCGCTGTGCTGCAGGGAGCCGGGCAAGGGACTCGGCAGGGAACATTCCCCCCTGCCGTCAGCGCTGGCCCCAGTGCAGAGCTACGGGCGCTGTGCTGCAGGGAGCTGGGCAGGGGACTCGGCAGGGAACATTCCCCCCTGCAGTCAGGTCTGGTCCCGATGCAGAGCTACGGGCGCTGTGCTGCAGGGAGCCGGGCAGGGGACTCGGCAGGGAACATTCCCCCCTGCAGTCAGCGCTGGCCCCAGTGCAGAGCTACGGGCGCTGTGCTGCAGGGAGCCGGGCAGGGGACTCGGCAGGGAACATTCCCCCCTGCCGTCAGCGCTTGCCCCAATGCAGAGCTACGAGCACTGTGCTGCAGGGAAACGGGCAGGGGACTCGGCAGGGAACATTCCCCCCTGCCGTCAGCGCTGGCCCCAGTGCAGAGCTACGAGCACTGTGCTGCAGGGAAACGGGCAGGGGACTCGCCAGGGAACATTCCCCCCTGCAGTCAGCGCTGGCCTCAGTGCAGAGCTACGAGCAGTGTGCTGCAGGGAAACGGGCAGGGGACTCGCCAGGGAACATTCCCCCCTGCAGTCAGCGCTGGCCCCAGTGCAGAGCTACGAGCAGTGTGCTGCAGGGAAACGGGCAGGGGACTCGGCAGGGAACATTCCCCCCTGCAGTCAGGTCTGGCCCCGATGCAGAGCTACGGGTGCTGTGCTGCAGGGAACATTCCCCCCTGCAGTCAGCGCTGGCCCCAGTGCGGTTGTAGAGGGCTCTGTCCCACTCAGATGGCAAAGGCCTGACCGACCATATTAAAGATCCTTGCCACTTGCTGTCTGTCAGAGTTGGAGTGTTAGCTCCTGTGGCCTGGCCAAATTCAAGCCCAGGTAGTTTATGTTGAGCTGAGCTAACCCCCTGCAGTTGTTTCATAGAGGATCCTCCTTCACCTGCTGTTCTCATCTATTTTGCAGCATTTCTGTGTGGCTGTTACTGGTGCCCAGTTCCGTCCCAGAGGGGACTGCACTTCCATATGGGTGGGGTGGTGGGAGAGTGCTTTGGAGCCTCATAGCTGGCAGGTGCTACAGGAATGGCAGTGGCTCTGAGCCAGCCTATTCCCTGCTGGAGGGAGTAACCCCCCTGGGTTTCCTCTCCAGCCCTGTGGGGTGATGGGTCCTTTGGACTCAGGGTAAGGCCTGTGCCATGCAGTGCATCCTGGCTCCTGCTCATGAGGATGGGATGGGGGAATGGGAGCTGCCCTGGCTGAATTGTACAGCACAGACCCGTTCCCTTCCCTTCCTCCTCCAGTGCGGAGGGGCTCTCCCAAACCACGTGCTGGGGGCCTGCGGCTGCTAGGCCCAGTCAGGGCACCCTGGGTAGGTGGGATGGGAGTGCTCCCTCCTGGTAGGAATGTGGAGCATGGCCAGCTGTGGGATGAGCCGGAGGGAAAGATGTCAGGGCTCTCAGGCCCCAGTGTGACTGTCACTGCCTCTCCCCAGGCGAAGGGGAAACTGCAGGGCAGCATCGAAGGATACGTGAGGGAGAAGATCCATCTGGCAGCCGAAGCTATCTCCAAATATGCCTTCGAGAAGATCAGTGACCGTGATGTCATCCTGGTGTATGGATGGTATGGAGGAGGGGGTTTCCCTGTGCAGATGATCTGGCCCAGGGTGGAGGAGCCTTCCTTATGTTCACTGTGGGCAAACTGGACAGTCCCAACCAAAAATACAGATACTTCCAAAGGCTAATGCCCATGAGCAAAGTTGACTGGAAGGAAAATGTATACAGAAAAATGTGAATGGAAATCAGGTGTTCTTTAAGATAAATTATTTAGATAACTAAAAATCCATGATTCCACAATCGCAGAAGAGAACAACTGTGCCTAAAAGCCCATCCTGAATCAGTGGGGAAGTGAAGGTTGCAGTAAGAAATAAAAAAGCAACATATAACAAATGGGAAATAAATAGTAATTGATATAAACTAGAAGCTAAGAAGTGTAAAAAATTGATAAGGGAGGCTAAAGACCTCAGGGAAAAATCAATGGCTGTCAGGGGTAAGGATAATAAGGAGTTCAAATATATCAGGAACAGAAGAAATCCAAGCAATGGTGCAGGCCCATTACTAGATGGAGATTTTGGTAATATTGTTAATGATGTGGAAAAGGCAGAACTGTTCAATAAATATTTCTGTTCAGTATTTGGAATGAAGCAGAATGAGCTTTAAAGAGTTTGATCTGTTTAGTTCAGTAAGAAAAGTGAGAGGTGACTTCGTTACAGTGTCATTACAGCACCTTCACCGGGGGGAGAACAGTGAGGGCTCTTCAATCTAGTGCAGAAAGGCAGAACAAGAACCCATGGCTGGAAGCTGGAGCCCAACAAATCCAAACTAGAAAGAAGGCACAAAATTCTCACCAGGAGGGTTATGAATTCTTGGGACAAACTGCCAAGGGCAGGGGTGGAGTCTCCCTCTGTCGATGGCTTCAGATCCAGACTGGCTGCCGTTCTGAGTGTGCGTTAGCCTAACGCATGTTATTGGGCTCAGTGTCGGGGTAACTGGATGAATTTCTCTGACCTGTGATATGCCAATTAGTCTAGATGGTCCCTTCCTGCCTTAAGCTCCATGAATTCACTTGTGGTGTCCTGTCAGCTCCTCCTTAGTGAACCGCACACTGTGTGACGCCTATGCCAACGGTTGTGCCTTCCGGGTGATTGTGGTGGACAGCCGGCCGCGGCTGGAGGGCCGAGACACACTACGCAGGCTGGTGCGCAAGGGCATCCGCTGCACCTACGTCATGATCAGCGCCATCTCCTACGTGCTGCCCGAGGTGAGCAGGCAGCTGTGCTGAGGGGAAGGGCATTGCTAGGGTGATGGAGGCAGGGCCTGCTACAGCCGTAGATTGGTGCTAGTTGACGTGCTCCCCCCGCAGGTCTCCAAGGTGCTGCTGGGGGCTCACGCACTGCTGGCCAACGGCTCCGTCATGTCCCGGGTGGGGACGTCCCAGATCGCGCTGGTGTCCAAGGCCTACAACGTGCCTGTGCTGGTGTGCTGCGAGACCTACAAGTTCTGTGAGCGGGTGCAGACGGACTCCTTTGTCTCCAACGAGCTGGGTACGTGCCCTGCGTCCTCCCGTGCCGTGGGTTCCGCTCCCCTCAGAGCAGCTGCTGGCCACCGTGCAGCCAGACTGACCAGTGTATGGCACGTCCCAGCACTGCATCCTCCTCTGGCCAGTCGGGGAAGTCATGGGGGGCAGGGAGGGGCTGTGTGGTGCCAGCCAGCTCCTTTGGCTGGGGGGCTGTCCGAGTGCTAGCCGGTTCCTCCGGCCAGTCAGGGAAGTCATGGGGAGCTATCCCCGTGCCAAGCAGCTCCTCCCATGCCTGACCCTGTAGCATGTCTCTATAGATGACCCCGATGACCTGATCATGCCTGGGAAGGGAGGAGCCCAGCTGCGTAACTGGAAGGAGAACTCATCCCTGCGCCTTCTCAATCTGGTCTATGACGTGACCCCCCCGGAGCTGGTGGACCTGGTGATCACGGACTTGGGCATGATCCCGTGCACCTCGGTGCCCGTCGTGCTGCGTGTCAAGAACGTGGAGCAGTAGTGGGGGAATGGGGGCTGCACGGACCCTCAATAAACCCTGCTGATCTCACGGCTGCCTGCTGGAACTGCGTGATTGGGGGACAGGACCAGAGCTGCACTGCATGGGCCCCCACCTGTCCTCAGGGGAACCGGCCCCGCCCCACGGGTTCCTCTCAGAGTACCCGGCCCCGCCCCGGCCTGCCCCTAGGGGAACCGGCCCCGCCCCATGGGTTCCTCTCAGGGTACCCAGCCTCCCACCCAGCCTGCCCCCAGGGGAACCAGCCCTGCCCCATGGGTTCCTTTCAGGGTACCCAGCCCCAACCGGGCCTGGCCCCAGGGGAACCGCCCCCCTGGCCTGCCCCCAGGGGAATGGCCCCGCCCCCACAGGTTCCTCTCAGAGTACCCAGCCCCCGCCTCTGCCTGCCCCCAGGGGAACGGCCCTCCTCCTCCGCCACCCCCCCACCACGGTTCCTCGCCCTCCCCCACGGGTCCTCTCAGGGTACCCAGGCCCCCAGCCTCCCCAGTCCCCCCCCCCCCCGGCCTGCCCCCAGGGGAACCAGCCCTGCCCCCGGGTTCCTCTCCCCAGGGGACCCCCCCCCCCTCCCCCCGGGTCCTCCAGGGCCCCCCCCAGCCTGGCCCCAGGGGAACCAGCCCCGCCCCCATGGGTTCCTCTCAGGGTACCAAGCCCCGCCCCCAGGGGAACCGGCCCCGCCCCCCGGGTTCCTCTCAGGGTACCCGGCCCCCCGGCCTGCCCCCAGGGGAACCGGCCCCGCCCCCCACGGGCTCTGGCGAGGGGCGGGGCCGCGCATGCAGATCTGGGCGCGAGGGCGGGGCATTGTGAGAGCCGGGCAACATCCGTTCCCCGGGGACGCAGCCGGAAGTGACGCCAGGGAGCGCCGCGCGTCGATTGCCGCGCGCCTGCGGAGCGGCCATCTTGGAGCCCCCGGTTCCGCGCGGGCCGCCGGGAGCCGAGGTGAGGGCGGCGGGGCGGGGCGGCTCGGCCGGACTCGGCCCCGCGTGACCCCCGGAGCCCGCCCCGGAGCCATGCGGGCGGCGCCGGCCTGAGGCCCGCGGGCGCTGATGGCGGCTCGTGCCGGGGCCATGGGGGCGGCCGCGGGCCCCCGCGGGTCCCTGCGCTCGGAGCCGCCCTGCGCCGCGGAGGCCGCCGCGGGACCGTCCGCCCCGGGCGCGCTGCGGGAGGAGCCGGGCCGCCGCCGCCGCACGAGAGGACGCGGGTCTCCAGGGAGCGAGCGGCCGGAGCCGAGCTCCCCGCAGGCCGCCGCCCGTACGTACCCGCCGCCGCCGCCTCCCCGGCCCGGCCTCTGCGCGGGGAGCCCCGCGCCGCCCCGCCCCGCCCCGCCGGCCGCGGCTCCGCCGGGCCTACTCCCCGCCTCGGCCGGCCCGACGCGGCCCCCATTGCTTCGCTCGGAGACTGGGGCAGGGAGGGGAAGGGCCTTGTCAGTTTATGAGTCGGTGGCAGTGGAGGGGATAAACCTCCGGCTTCCTAGTCCAAGGCCTGTGCTTGCACCCTAAGGGCGCCTTTCCTCTCCCCCGGTCCCCCGTGCTCCTTCAATGGCTGCTCTAAAGCGCTGCCGGGTGAAGCAGCTGCCCGGCTCCCCGCAGGCGGCTGCATTTCAGTGGTGGTTTCTGGGATGGCCAGGGTGCCAGCTCTCATTAGGTTGTCTGAGCCTTTCTGTTGCAAGCCCCCCGTTTTGGGTTGCCGTAGCATAACTCTCTGAAGTGTCCATCTATGGGCCTGTGAGGTCTTGGCTCAGGACCTTTTAGAGAATTTGAATCAAACCCTGTTCAGATTGGGAGGCCATGTGAATGACTTTCCCATGTGAGAATCTGCCTGCTGCTGAAGTCTGGAGAGCTCTGGGACTGATCAGTGGAAATCGCCCTCTCTCTGCGTGCAGTTGGGGAGCTTTCTGAGTGCTGGCAAGCTGCATTGAGCTCCAGCTCAGCTCATGGAATCTCCTGATTTAGGCCCTGTTGGGGGAAAACTGAGACCCATCTTGGTCCTCCATTTCTCCTTACCTGAGAACTTCACCCTCAATAATCTCCTGTGCTTCCCAGTTTAAATGAGGTCTCACCACCCCCCCCTCCCCCGGAGGGAGTTGGGTGAGCTTTGCCCCATGGAAAGCTTTTAGGGTCAGGAACGGAACCCAGCTCTCCGTGATCTCAGAGCACTAGACCACAGAACCTGATAGGTGGACTTGGCTCTGCCTGCCCATGCGGCTGCTTCGGGTTACTCGCTAGTTGAGTACCTTGCAGTTGGCAGCTGCAGAAGGGCCAGGCAGGTGCTAAGCATTGGCACTGGAGAGTGAGGGCACGGGCAGCAGCTGGGCCAGAAGGGACTGTGGATGGAGTGATGTGGCTTCTAGTCTTGGCTCTTAAGCTATCGCTCTTGAGTTCTGCAGTCCTGTTGACCTCACCTGTCGCTCACCTCGTGTGCTCTGCTGGTGCCCTCTTCTCTTTCAAATAACCCAGGGTTCCTTCGTCCTGCAAGGTCCTGTCAAACATGAAACAATCCAAGCCAGCTCG